CTAATATCTAATATATGTAATATCTAATACTTGTACTCTTTTATTAAACAAATTCTATTTAAATACATTCCTTATTCAATTTTGTATTTTCTTATATTCTCAAAAGTATATGAATCATCTTAAGTTTTATTTGTGTTGAATCTTTAAGTTTTTTTTATTTTACATTTTAATTATATTTTCTGTATATTCTCAATATTAAGTGAAAGCACCTTAAGTTTAATTATTGGTAGTTTATATTTTATTAATTAATCAATAATTTACATACTATTTATTATATTTTTTTTCCAGCATGATCAATAGTATGCTGTTGAACTTTGTTAACGTATACTATTGAGTTTATTTATCTTTGTGATTTTATTTTTTAACTTAATTTTTAAGTTCAATTATATATATGTTGTTAACAAACTGTTTTTATATCTAAAACTAACAGTTATTTTTATGATTGTATATTTGAATACATTTACTAAACTTTTTTGTGAACTTTATTTATAAAGATAGTGAAAAAAATTTTTTTAATAGCATGATGATGATGGAACGGATTTTAGTGAACCAGGTTTTGAATTTAATGAATCAGATGATGAGGTAATAGTTGTATAATTTTATTTTTGTTATTCATAATTTATATTTGTTACTGCATAATTTTTGTTTGCTAAAGAATATTAATTGTTAATAGGCATAGCTATTTTTCAATCACTAACTCTAATTTTAGCTTTTGGGAGATCTCACGCAAGAATTTCTGGAAGACGAAGAGAATTTAATTGGGGAAATCTCGCAAGGTTTTGTAGAGGCGACACAGGTGTTTCGAAATCTCCCTCTTTATTATCAAATGGGTTCGGGATTTGAGGTAATAACATTTTATTCAGCTATTTTTTAAAAAAAACTCTCAGTTCAAAATTTGTCTTTATTTATTTATTCTTATGTATTTTTTATTTCTATATCAGAATCAGCCAGGACCTTCTAGTGGAAAGTGTACCGGCTCCAGTTCCATCAAATGATGAGAGTTTTAAATAATTTGTTTATTTATTTATTTTGTATTTTTAATTATTTAACTTAAATAAATTAAAACATATTACATAAATATAACATGTATTTAATTTATTTAATATATATTTAAGTTACACTTATTTAATGTTTATTTTATAGTTAAATTCTGGTATTATATTGGAACTTCACTCAGGGAGAAGGAACGAGAAATATAATGCGGACCAAGTTTGTTTCAGAGCCCGTGTGGATCCGGATCGTTTGCCTGATAGTTTGCGTGGTACCCCTTTAGTCACCGTGGTTGACACAGTGATGCAGCTTTTTGAACTACTAATTCAAAGAGTACGTAACCCGACGGATGGATCACCTCCTTTAAACCGGACAGATTTAATAAGATTCTGCATACAGGCAGAAGGACTGGACAAGCCAATCTCAACATGTTTAATGCCTGTTTCAGAACTCACAACTGAGAAAGTTACGTCTTGTGTGATGAAGGTACTACAGTCTAAAGATCAGATCGAATTAGATTCAGGATTTTATGTGGACATCATTACAATTAGGAGAGACGTTGGTGCAGGAAGAGGTGTTAGGGTTGTGAATGCTCTCGTGGATGCTAAAAATAAACAATCCATTTTGTCCATCCCAACTGACAGTGAAGGCTTGTGTTGTGCCAAAGCAATTGTGTATGCTATAGCTCATCTGGAAAATGATAGGAGAGCCATTAACTCTTTAAGAAATAGACATAGACCTGCATTGATGAATCGAGCCAAGGAGCTCCATGCGTCTGCAGACGTACCCTTAGGACCTTGCACATACATGGAAATAGCCAAATTTGAGAGTTTTCTCAATATTCAAATTGTCGTTTTTTCTGCAGATAACAGCAATAAGGTAATTTTCTTCTTTTTTTTTATCAATATTAAATGTTAATATTTGTTCACCAATTATAATGACAAATTTTCATTTTAAAAAAATAATAACTCAGCTCTAGAAGTACTTACTGTTTGGAAAAAAAAAGTTTTTTATGATTATCTCGAAAGCAAATTTGTATAATAATCTGATATATTTAATTATTGAATGTATTCATAATTATTTCAGGTTTCTTATAAAGGGAACGATCGACCAAAACGAATAAATCTTTGGTTACATAATCGACATTATGATGTGATTAAAAGCTTAAAAGGGTTTTATGCCAGTAATTTCTATTGTGAATCGTGCGAAAAACCATTCGCACACCGAGAAGATCACTGCTGTGTGAATTCGTGCAGGATATGTTTGAGGAGCAAATGTGATCAGGGAGAACCTAAACGATGTAGCAACTGTTACAGGCTTTGCAAATCAGATGATTGTTTTGAGGCCCATAAATCAACGACTGGACTACAGGAGGGTTCCTTATGCGATAGAGTTAGAATTTCTTTTCATTACAATAATCTTGTTTCTAAATCTTGTTTCCTGTCTTATGTTTTTCTAATTTTTTTAAAAGATATACCAGTGTCGTAAATGTTGTAAAGTAATCAGAAGAAGGGAGTGTTTACCTGAAAACCATCGTTGCTGCACCACGAAATGTCCATCATGCCAAAAATTTGTTGATGCTACTGAACATAAATGTCATCTAAAACGAATTGAGCGGAAAGAGCCCTCAGATCAGTTAATTTTTTTCGATTTTGAAACTGATCAATCTACTGGTGAGCATCTCGTCAACTTGGCTGTAGCTCAATATGCTGATGGTCGAGAACGAGTTTTTAAAGGATATAATGCTTCCAACGATTTTTGTGCCTGGTTGTTCTCTCATCAACATAAAGACTTTACAGCAATAGCTCATAACATGAAAGGGTAAGTTTTTTTTTAATTCATTATTTAATTTATTTCATTGTTTAATTCATTTCATNAATTCATTTCATTATATAATCATATCACATTTTAGACACAGTTAATTGCTTACATTCCTTTTAACAAAAAATCATCATAATTATTGTGTTTTTAATTTAACATTTATACTTAGCTTCGATGGACAGTTCATTATGGGATGGCTGCTGCAACAAGGCACCACTCCAGATGTTATCCCAAACGGTTCCTGTGTGATGAGCATTTTTCATAACGCATTGAAGATAAGAGTCATTGATTCATTAAATTTTTTGGCTATGCCTTTGGCAAAATTACCTGCATGTTTTGGTCTAACTGAGCTGACAAAAGGTTTTTTCCCACACTTATTTAACACCTCGGAAAATCAGAACTATGTTGGCACTTTACCTAGCGAAGAATTTTATAGCCCAGACTCGATGAAAAGTGATGTCAGAAAAAGTTTCCTGGAATGGCACAAAGAAAGAAAGAATGATGTCTTTGACTTTGCGAAAGAAATATTGGCATATTGCAGGTATGGTATAGTCCACTTTTAATATTTTATACGATAGAAATATTATAATTTTTAACTATTTTTTCAAATTACAGATCAGATGTAGATATTCTCAGGAGGTGTTGTCTGGAATACAGAAAAGAGCTTTTGAATATCGCAAACGTTGATCCTTTTCGGTAAGAATTTTTAACAACTGTTGCAGATGTTTTCTTATGTTTTATTTATACTACAAAATGATTTTCTTTTTTTTTAACAGATATATAACAATAGCATCTTCATGTATGGCAATTTATCGTAATAGTCATTTGCAGCCAAATACTATTGCCATGGTACCAGTGAATGGGTATAGTACGAATGTAAAATACAGTCCCGATTCCATCAGATGGTTGGATTTCATAGCTAAACAGGAAAACATATTCATTCAGCACGCTCTAAACAAGTCTGGTGAAAGGAAGATAGGAGGTGCTTATGTTGATGGGTTTTGCGAGGAAACCCTAAACTATTTACCAATTTCAAGTAAGTTGTTTAATAATTTTTCCAAAATTATACAGTTCAAATAATACTTATATGCCTGTGTAATACTTATATTAATATCTATTTTTTCATACTTATTTCAGGGCTGTTTTTATCATGGCTGCGAAAAGTGTTTTGAGAGAGATACAACACATCTATTAAAAGGTGTTACTATGGCATCTTTACTTCAAAGTACTCAGGAAAGAACTGAAAGACTTCGTTCTCTTGGATATAATTGCATGGAAATATGGGAGCATGAGTTTCATCAAATGAAAAAAGATGACGAGGAATTAAAACTTTTCTTAAAGCAACATAGATTGAAAGATCGGATGAACCCCAGGGATGCTTTTTACGGTGGTCGGACAAATGCTATTAAACTCTTTCACGAAGGACCCTCTAAATATGTTGATTTTACATCCTTATATCCTTGGGTAAATATTGTTTTAATGATTTTTTGTTTAATTTTTGGATACAGAATTAAAACGAATTCATTTTTCTTATGCTATTTTTTCTAGGTTAATAAATACTGCAGTTATCCAGTGGGCCATCCAGAGATAATTACAGAACGGTTTGGTTCTATTGAGGATTTTTTTGGTATTGCCAAATGTACTGTGGTACCACCAAGAGAGTTATACTTGCCTGTATTACCATATAGATGTTTGGGCAAACTTATGTTCCCCCTTTGCAGAACATGTACGGAAACCACCCAGCAAAGCAAATATCTACATGTGGAAGATGAAAGAGAATTGACGGGTACATGGGTGACCGAGGAATTGAAATTTACTGTAACAAAGGGATACAAGATTAAGGAAGTAAGTACTTTTTGTTTAAAAGTTGAATTGATACGAGAGTTTTAAAAATAATTTTTCAGGATTTAGATAAAGGGTTTAATGTGTAATTTTGTTTTGTTTTTTTTAGATACACGAAGTTTATCATTTTAAAGATTCCTCCAATACACTGTTTCGTTCATATATCGATTTGTTTTTGAAAATAAAACAGGAAAGTAGTGGTTGGCCTGCTGGGTGTGTAACGGATGCAGATAAAGCTAATTATATCCAGGAGTATAAAACGAAAGAAGGAATCAGCCTTGATCCTGAAAAAATTGAAAAAAATCCAGGGAGGCGACAGGCTTCAAAAGATTCATTGAATAGTTTCTGGGGACGGTAAGTTTCATTCAACTAACATTTACAGTGATTTTACTTTAAAACTATTATTTAATTGTATAAATAATTTTTTTTCCTTCTTAGTTGGGGCATGCATTGCAATAAAGTACGATTAACTTATGTAAATACAGTTTTGGAGTTTAATAAAATGCTTTCTGATACAACGAAAACTAAGTGAAATTTAATATAATTATTATTTATTGATTTTGTTTAAAAAAAATTAACAATATAATAATTTCTTTTAGATAAAAGACGTATATCTTCCCAATGATGAAGTTGTTGCAATTATTTGGGAGTCAAAAAGAGATTTCATATCCCAGGATACATCCACCAATATTTTCTTGGCTGCATTTACAACCGCATGGGCACGTCTCAAACTGTATGGAGAAATGGACAAGTTAGGATCAAATGTATTATACCATGACACCGACTCTATCATATATGCCCAAGATGGTTTTAATGATCCTCCGATCGGAAATTTTCTTGGGGATTTCACAGATGAACTGGGTGGAGATGTCATCACAACCTTTGTATCTGGTATTATTTTTTTTAAATATTACAATAATTGATATCTTTCTGTAGTTTATTCTAGATCAAGATTTAGAGTTGATAATTTTTATAACACATTTCATTATTATAACATTACATACGGTTTTCTTTACAGGTGGCGCTAAAAATTATGCCTACGAAACTACTTCTGGAAAAATGTGCTGTAAAGTGCGTGGTTTCACCCTCAACTACAGGAATTCCCAAAAGATAAATTTTGAGACAATAAAAAAAATGTTGTGCGAACTGAATAACGAAAGCCTACCAATTCATAACCCTATGAAAATCTGAAGAGACGCAAAGAGAAGAAAGGTTTTAACAAAGCCAGAAACGAAACTTTACAGAGTCGTTTACGACAAGCGAGTTATTCAGCCTGATCTATCTACTCTTCCATATGGTTATTGAGGAATAATGGTTATTAAGGGGAAGGACAAAGTGCAAAGTGGAGGCAACCCACTTGGAAAAAAAGCAGTGGAGGCTATACCCACTTAGAAAAAAGCAGTGGCGACGTCCACTTTAAAAACCGCGGAGTGCCACTGGAGAAGGGTCCTCGTCCCGCACTCTGGATAGTTACTTGTAACTAACAGATGTCTCCAACATCCATTACAGAAAAATTTATTGAATTAATCATACAAATTTTATTTAGATTAAATTTTTTAGAAAATAATATTAAGCATGAGTGAACAAATGTTAGTGAGTGAATGAATGCTGTCATGAAAATGAAAAAAAAAAATACATTTTTAAAAAAAATCATTAACTGAAAATAAACACATTTAATAAATATTTCAGCTATCTATTTTTTCTAGCAAAGAATACTAGTGAATCAACAACAGAAGGTAAGTCAGTTAAAAAAATTTTTTTTACTATTTTTATTAATAACTTCCCAGACAGAAACTATCGTTTTAAAATTTTGTGAGAAAATAGATATCATGAAGATGAAACAAGTTCCGTATTTCTAATATTTCATAAAATATTTTTATTTTTGTAAAAAATTTCTAACTTTTAGTAAAATATTTTTTGCTTTTTGTTAAAAATATCCTAGTTTTGTAAAAATATTTCAAACTTTTTATTAACATTTTCCAGTTTTCAGAAAATATTTATGCTTCTTACAAAAAAATTTTCTCTTTTAAGAAAATATTTCTATCTTTTAGTAAAATTCTTTTATCTTTTAGTAAAATATTTTTGCTTTTTGTAAAATTTTTCTATCTTTTAGAAAAATATTTTTTGCTTTTTTTAAAATCTAATATTTTTGTAATAATTTTATAGTTTTTCTGAAACTTTTTTTGTATTAATTATTAAAGGGTGTACTTTCTTACTGAATAGGTTAATAATAGCTAATATTGAATAGTTTAATAATAATTACAGTCATTTATATCAACTATACATATATCAAAAAATAACTAAACTTCTAACATTTTAAGTATAGATGACACCATTAGAATATCTATAAAATGATAACATTTATTTTATTAAAACCTTTGGTCTTTTTCCTCTGATCTCTGTACATTCACAGGACACTGGTTAACAAAACCAAGCCCACTGCTTGTCGTCGAACTAAGCGTAGGAGGTTTTCGTGGTTTTCCACTTCATATAACATGGTACACAAAGTCCACTTCGAAGACATGTATT